TGTTGACTACAGGTCCTACAGACTGTGAGAAAGTTGACTATAGGTCCTACACACCAAACCTTGAGAAAGTTGACTACAGATCCTACATGAGACCGTGACAAAGTTGACTACAGGTCCTACAGACTATGAGAAAGTTGACTACAGGTCCTATAGACCGTGAGACAGTTGACTGCAGGTCCTACAGACCGTGAGAAAGTTGACTACATGTCCAACAGACTGTGAGAAAGTTGACTACAGGTCTTACACCAGACTGTGAGAAAATTGACTACAGGTCCTACAGACTGTGAGAAAGTTGACAACAGGTCCTACAGACTGTGAGAAAGTTGACTACAGGTCCTACAACCCGTGAGAAAGTTGACTACAGGTCCTACAGACTGTGAGAAAGTTGACTACAGGTCCTATAGACTGTGAGAAAGTTGACTACAGGTCCTATAGACTGTGAGAAAGTTGACTACAGGTCCTATAGACCGTGAGAAAGTTGACTACCGATCCTACAGACTGTGAGAAAGTTGACTACAGGTCCTATAGACTGTGAGAAAGTTGACTACAAGTCCTATAGACTGTGAGAAAGTTGACTACAGGTCCTATAGACCGTGAGAAAGTTGACTACCGATCCTACAGACTGTGAGAAAGTTGACTACAGGTCCTACAGACTGTGAGAAAGTTGACTACAGGTCCTACAAACCGTGAGAAAGTTGACTACAGGTCCTACACCAGACTGTGAGAAAGTTGACTACAGGTCCTACAAACCGTCAGAAAGTTGACTACAGGTCCTACAAACCGTCAGAAAGCTGACTACAGGTCCTACAAACCGTGAGAAAGTTGACTACATGTCCTATAGACCGTGAGAAAGTTGACTACAGGTCGAACAGACTGTGAGAAAGTTTACTACAGGTCCTACAGACTGTGAGAAAGTTGACTACAGGTCCAACAGACTGTGAGAAAGTTGACTACAGGTCCTATCGACCGTCAGAAAGTTGACTACAGGTCCTACAAACCGTCAGAAAGTTGACTACAGGTCCTACAAACCGTTAGAAAGCTGACTACAGGTCCTACAAACCGTGAGAAAGTTGACTACATGTCCTATAGACCATGAGAAAGTTGACTACAGGTCCTTCAGACTGTGAGAAAGTTTACTACAGGTCCTACAAACCGTCAGAAAGTTGACTACATGTCCTACACCAGACTGTGAGAAAGTTTACTACAGGTCCTATAGACCGTGAGAAAGTTGACTACAGGTCCTTCAGACTGTGAGAAAGTTTACTACAGGTCCTACAAACCGTCAGAAAGTTGACTACATGTCATACACCAGACTGTGAGAATGTTGACTACAGGTCCTACATGAGACCGTTAGAAAGTTGTCAAGCTCGAGAGAGTGTTTTTATATTATAGGTTTTTAAAAATACTAGTCTCACCAGTTTGGGGAAGTTATGCCGTTTATAGCCATTAATGGCTAAGGTGTAGGAAGAGGTTGAGAATTAGGCTGCGTATATATTGTACTAGCTGTCGGTTCTCGTTAATTAGGTTTATCACAAAATAATATGATAAAACGACTTTAAGGTTTCATCTTACTTTTTAAGATATGATCTGACTTTTTAAGTTGTCACCTGACTTTTAAGGTGTCAGCTGACTTTAAAAGTGTGATCTATATTTTTAATGTGTGATCTGGCTTTTTAAGTTTGATCTTTTTAGGTAGATCTATATCTGGCTTTTTCAGGTTTGATCTGGCTTTTTGAAATATGTGATCTCTCTTTCTAATTCGGCATTTGTGTTTCTTCTTTGAGGGATGCGTTTTCTAAAAACTATACTAATCCCAAACTATACTATACTATTCCTAAACATGTGAAAATAATTAGAAATTTTGTTCTTTATTGATTATCAAAAAATTAATACAACAGACTTAAAAAGATGGTTCAAAATGATTTTCTTGCCAGGAAGCATATTTTTCAATCAAAATTGAATATTTAATAACATTTGTGTAATAAGTACAAAATCACTTCCGGTTTTATTAAGACTAGAAATAGTCAAATATACAATTATTGGTAAAATAATACTAATTTAGCAAACATTATTATTTTTAATTTGGATTAGCAGAGTTAGGGTGTTGTGGTGATAGGGGATATAATATTATACAATCTATTTATATAATTCTCTTCATGGAGACCATAGAAAACACCACGCAGCTCAGCCACCACCCTCATCCCCACCTGCCAGGTGAGCTGTGGTTCACCCCGAATGTTTACAATCTTAGAGCCGGGTTAGTGACGACTATTAGGGGCAGATAATTTTACATTAAACGATTTTAAACGAAGGGGAGGTAACAATTTCTGATTGATCTTTTCTTTGTAAACGGCTGCTTTCACTGGGCAGGAGGGTGGGGGGGGGGGGGTTGGGGGCGGGAGGGGATAGTGTTGAAGTCACAAATTATGAATTGCTGATAAGCAGAAAATAAAACAACTAGATGGCGGCGTATACTACGTCGCGGGTCAGCTCGTACAAGATATATGGCGAGTTGAGGGAGAAATACAAGGGGCACTAGGTTGATAGTATTGTCTTTTTCTCTAAACGGAAACCAAAGAACCAAAATCATCTGAAGCACGTCTACCGTCCCCTATAACAAAATTGAATTTATATAGGAGATATACTTTTACCATTAAATTCTCAGGGGGGGGGGGGCTGACACTGGTAAAAGTATATATTTTCTATATAAAATGTATTTCGTTCTGCCCTGGGGGGGGTGCAGTGCCCCCTACCCAAAGAGATGCAAAAGAAACTCTACTCGCAGACTACTTTTAAGATTAGACCATTAAATTAGGCGGTTAAGTTAATGTCTGTATTATCAAGTATCGATAACGTCATTATTATTGCGTATTTGTCTCGGTATTGGCTTTTTAATTTTTTGTGTGTACTTTTCCGGCTTTAGAATATTTCCTACTATATGTTCCATGTGAAGTCACGTTTCGTTTTTCCTTTGACTGAACGTTTTTTGTTTACCTGTGTTTTCTCTATAGTGTTTTCAACAGATAGATAGAGTGACAAACAGCGAAACTATTATTATAGCTATTGGCTACTCCATAGACCACTATTGTATATCTTTTATCATGAAAAACAATTGTTGTGCCTTTCATTGTTTTACTCTCCCTGGCAATTCTGGTTGACTTCAAAGAGGCTGAGCGCGGTTTTTTTTTTAAAGTTTAAGTTAATAAAATAGTTCTAAGCCAGGGGTCGGCAACCTTTTGAGCCGGAAGAGCCAAAAGATATAATTTACAAAATTTCCCAGTTTTTAAAGAGCCACTAACATTTTTCCCCAATATTTTGGTATTTGATAACGATTAGGTAAATAAATTTTTATTTGAAATAAATAGCGTTAAATATAAACTAATATTGATTCATATAAAAACATTTTTCGCACAAAAACTGTTTTAGCTAGCTCTGCTATGATTTAGTTATCAAATAATATAACTATAGGACAATCCCAATCCACTTTAGCAGCCAATAACTTTTTTTTTCTTTATTTACGGAGACCACTGACTCAGGAATTGGCTCCCATAGCCAGACAGCCCTCATCAGGCAAACTCCGACTAACTGGCTGGGGTATCGGTTTGATTAATATATTGGTTGCTTCTGCTCTTCGGTTCTCACAGGGCTTATCTTTCACCCTACTTGTTCCCGTAGGAAGCTAATAACTAAAATACGTCACTCATGTCAAATTAATGCATACTGACATGTTAATCAATGCATTCTGAATAGAATAACATTCCCAATTTAACGATATTCGAAAAAGTCGGCACTTGGGCAGTGGCAAACATGGACGACTGTGGAACTGGGCCTGGTGCCCAAGCGACTGTCAGCTGTCCATTTACTTTCTACCTCACCTTTTCTCACTGTTCTGATCATTGTTTTAATCCTGTTTAAAGTTATTTCTTTACAGTATGATATTTTATGAGTTTTGAAAATTAAATAGTGCAATTATTAATATTTTAGCATGGAACTCGAGAGCCGCACATTGACATCAAAAGAGCCGCATGCGGCTCGCAAGCCGCAGGTTGCCGACCCCTGTTCTAAACGACTTTTCAACGGCTTATATTCAAAGAAAAATATGAAAATGAGTGTAATAGATGGTTCCCAAACAGCGTTAACCACTTAAAATGTAACTAAAATTTTACGTTTGCTATATTTTTTAAAGATTTTATTTAAAAGTATGATTACATAGACTTTATAGGACTATTAAGAGAGTAAGTGGAGTGCTAAAAAAGAGATAAATACTTAAAATGAAGTTATAACTTTATGCGCAGTCACGGCAAACTGCAACCTTAATGGGTTTTTTTGTGATGACAGAAACTTGTCTGAACACTGAAACACTATAAGTTGGTCAACTTTTTTTTTACGCCTGACAGTCATAATACATAATTTTCTGACCCAATACAACAGATTAAACAATCTTGCAAAAATAAATGAGTTTCTAACAACAACAAAATACCCGTAAAGAAAAACATTAGCTTTTGTAACAATCTTACAGAATAAGAAAAACAATAGCTTTTTACTAAATCTTACATAAAGCAAAATAGATATTTACACTTTAGTATATTGGACACCTTTACTAATATTTAGGAAGGAACCCACGCTTTTCTTTATAATTATTTAAATAGTAGTGTATAATTTATTTTCTACTTTTTAGTGCATTATTACATAAAAGCTTGTTATTAAAACGTTTTTACAAGCTTTTATTTAACTCAGTAATTCTTAAAAAATCAAACAGGAATCCAATTAAATCAAATTTAATGTCATGTTGCATTGTCTTCATGGCTTGACACACGTACCAACTACGAACCGTATATGTCAGTTAGAAATGCCCGTAATTTTGCTAGGGCGTTTCGATCTAGACAGACTGACGACAGACTCACATTGACAGTGGAAGTGAGTTAAATAAAAGCCTGTAAAAAAGTTCTTACAATTTAGATATAATGGAGTAAATCGTCGTTTCTCTCATTTGTCCACAGCATAGACCTTCCTGTCGAGACAACCAAGGTGGGAGATGTGCCCTCGAGAACGTCCCAATAGTGCGCGAGTCACCTCCCGGCATTTGGTTAGATGGGACTGACCAAGGAAAGGGCGACTTTTGTTTCATGCTGTTTATCATTAAAATATTATGTTACATCCAGACTTCTTCTCTTGAGAAATAGTACGATGTGGACGATACAGTATAGACGGTACAGTGTGGACGGTATGGTATAGACGGTACGGTATAGACGGTACGGTGTGGACGGTACGGTATAGACGGTACTGTGTGAACGGTATGGTATAGACGGTACGGTATAGACGGTACGGTGTGGACGGTATGGTATAGACGGTACGGTATAGACGGTACGGTATAGACGGTACTGTGTGGACGGTATGGTATAGACGGTACGGTATAGACGGTACTGTGTGGACGGTATGGTATAGACGGTACGGTATAGACGGTACGGTATAGACGGTACTGTGTGGACGGTATGGTATAGACGGTACGGTATAGACGGTACGGTATAGACGGTACTGTGTGGACGGTATGGTATAGACGGTACGGTATAGACGGTACGGTGTGGACGGTATGGTATAGACGGTACGGTATAGACGGTGCGGTATAGACGGTACTGTGTGGACGGTATGGTATAGACGGTACGGTGTGGACGGTATGGTATAGACGGTACTGTGTGGACGGAATGGTATAGACGGTACGGTATAGACGGTACTGTGTGGACGGAATAGTATAGACGGTACGGTATAGACGGTACTGTGTGGACGGTATGGTATAGACGGTACGGTGTGGACGGTATGGTATAGACGGTACTTTGTGGACGGAATGGTATAGACGGTACGGTATAGACGGTACGGTGTGGACGGTATGGTATAGACGGTACGGTATAGACGGTACGGTGTGGATGGTACGGTGTGGACGGTACGGTGTGGACGGTATGGTATAGACGGTACGGTATAGACGGTACGGTGTGGACGGTATGGTATAGACGGTACGGTGTGGACGGTACGGTGTGGACGGTACGGTGTGGACGGTACGGTATAGACGGTACGGTGTGGACGGTACGGTGTGGACGGTACGGTATAGACGGTACGGTTTGGACGGAATGGTATAGACGGTACGGTGTGGACGGTATGGTATAGACGGTACGGTATAGACGGTACGGTGTGGACGGTATGGTATAGACGGTACGGTATAGACGGTACTGTGTGGACGGAATGGTATAGACGGTACGGTGTGGACGGTATGGTATAGACGGTACGGTATAGACGGTACTGTGTGGACGGTACGGTGTGGACCAGTGGCGTGGCTAGGTCGGGTATCACCGGTGCGGGCACGGACACGCTAATATATAGTTTAAAGCAATGTATGTCTGTCTGTCTTTTATGCATTACTACACCTTTCATCCGATCACCATGAAACATTGGAAAGTTGTTGAGGATGCTTCTGGGAAGGTTTCTGCGGGAAAAAAAATTCAAATTCACAAGAATGGCGCCCCGGCAGGGAGCTCTTTGTTTCTTCTCTTAGCTAGTTGCACACAACTTTTTTAAATAGGTAAATTGACAAAATAATGACGGGGTTGTATTAAGGAGATAAAATGTTGCAAAATGATACCAAACTTATGTTTATAAGATAAACGGTTCTCTAGATATGACGGTTTTAGTGTAAAAATTGCGGGGACAACTAAGCCTATGGAAAATGAAAGCAAAAATTGGTCACCTCGAGAGTATAGGAAAAAGGCGAAAGGGAAATAACTCTACGTAGGCGGATAATAAAAATATTTTCAAATAAGTATTTTTTATTGCATTTACAACTGCATAGAGTATCTCTACCAAGATATTAATAAATTATTTAATTTGAAAGTGGTCTATTAAAAATTATTAAAAATAAAATTGACCACTGGCTTGATTAAATCATTTAACTCAAACGTCATAGTAGTAGTCAGTGTTTCTTCCAGACTTTTTTCTCCGGGGGGCACTTGAAATCTTCGGGGGGGCGGTAAACTTTCTTCGGGGGGGGGGGGGGGGCGGACACTGTTAAAAGTATATATTTTCTATATAAATTTTATAAATTTCATTTCGTTCGGGGGGGGGCGGTAAAAATTTTTCGGAGATGCCTGGAAGAAACTCTGGTAGTAGTAAAAATAAAAGAAACAGGCTGAGTTAAAAAAAAAAAAACATTCCTAATTCCTAGGTAAACGGTATCGTAGAGACAGATCAGTTCAGTGCAACATATATGAGTGTCTTTGACTTAATGGAAGCACGTCAGCTAAGAGATAATCTGTGAGTGTCGTTAGCTAACTGAACATAGCTGGCACAAAACAAACAGCAACGTTATCAAGAATCGAGCATTTCACGCAGCAACAAATACAGACTCTAGACACGAGGGTTTCTGTATAAATGCATCTTGCCATCTGGTTTTGAACGTGAGGGACAGTTTGGTCGTGGGATGACCTACGATCACCAGGCCGGGTACCGATCTATCAGTTTAGTTAGCGGGCGCACTACATGCTAGACCACACTGTCCAGTTGTGATAACATTTAACAAAAGCTTGGGGATACGGGGTCTGGAAAAAGGTCTGGCAAAAATAGGATAAGCTATGGATGGAGGAGGGGAATGTGTGTAAAAAAGAGTGACTTTATTTGTGGACAGGGCAGATTCAATTCCGTACCACGTTTATAAAAGCAAAAGGTACCCCAGGAATACATAGCTAACTTATCAACCATACTTTACATACTTTCAACTTCATTTTTAGATGTAGATCTAGTATTCGAAAAAAAAGGTAGTGTCATGAAATTTAGTTTTAAATCATTCTATTTGTAACTTAACTTCAACTTTGTGTTGAGTTATCGTGTGCTAATTCAATCATTGGTAGCACGTTATACAGACCACAACATATTAGCTCAATGCATACAATTTTTACTATTTTAAAAAGGTTAATTTATTATCTTGGCATCTAGGCCTACTTACTTACTAGTGTAATTATTAAGCCTCTTTAAGAAATTTTTATCAAAATTGGTGACATAATTCCTATAAAACGAAGGAACATGAAAATGCGGTATCGATACCGCTAATAGGGTACTTAGTTTGTGAGACATTTTGCATAGTCTGCTAAACGGAAAAACTAAAATAAATATGCCAGTTAGAAAGTTTAATAAAAAACGAAAATAATCCCACTAAAAACAGGGTTAGTCTCAATGTTTTACTATTTTAATTGAATTTTTGAAAACTCCCCTTTTAAACTCAATATGAGATCAACAAAAACAAGTAAAATGTTGAAATAAAAAAATATACGGCAGTAACGGCCAATAACCGCTGCTAATAAGAAGGGCATATATAATTGGAATCATAATCGCGTTCTATCGTTTTTTGAACGTCATATTTTATTTACTTGTGCAACTAGCATATGGTAAATAAAAATAAAAGTCGATTGTGGTTCCACATCGTTAATTCGATCGTCATCAAACTTTGGGGAGTTGGTTAGAACACTCCAGGGAAGGGTTCTCCAAAAATCTTTTTTTTTTAATTTTGAAAGGGTGGCTCCCCTGGAGGGTGCAATTTTTCTCTATATACGGTATATTAAAAAAAATTCGGATGCGGTTCGACACCGTTCATCCGAGTGCAAATAAACTTTGAGGAGCTGATGAGAATACTCCCGAGAAGGTTTCTGTGAACAAAATAATTAAAATTTGAAATGCGCGCCGCCCGCGAGGGTGCGATTTTCGTCAATACACGGTTTGGCGCCCAGAGTTACAAAGCGGCGATATTAACACTTGACATCCATTAATTGGGCGTCCTTCATATCAGGTAAAGGGTACTACTATATTCATCGGTAAAACTGCAATAGGGCACCCGCCCGCGCCCTGTCGATTTCGCAACCCGAAGCGCCCCGGGCTTTCCTGTGAGCATTATAGTAACTACGTTCATTTAAAAAAGGTTATACACTAAAGACACCATGGGCAACAATAATCACTGACTTTATCGAATTAGGTGCGTTCCCTGGCGCCCTGGCAGGGGGGGGGGGCGATTTGACGATTAAGCGCATAATTTTGTTATAAAAATTGCGATAGACTATAGATAAGATGGGGGGGAGGGGGGTTATAGTCGTTAACTAAATTGAATCACGCCCGTTCGTCGGCGCCCCGCAGGGTGCAATTTTGGGCCCGCTATTATCCCTTGAGCGCTATGGCGCCGACGTCCGTTTTAAACAGTGTGATAGTCAATGGATAAAATGGGGCATTATATTCCTTCACTAAACAGAATCAGAAGTTTCCACCGGTTTGACCCCGAGCCATCCTTCAACTTTATACGCGGGGACGGGCACGTTAGTATATTATATATATATATATATATATATATATATATATATATATATATATATATATATATATATATATATATATATATATATAAAATATACACTTGTAAGTATGTGTATAACATTGTGTATATGTATTTAAATGTATCTTTTTTATGTATTTAAATGTTTTTGAAGCTACGCATATTTTGGGCTGAGTTTTGTCTTCTTTTTACTTTCTCGTATATACAAAGTATAGAGATATTGGCTTATAGTAATCGTGCAGAAAAATCGACTCCCAGAGTTGAAAAACATAGTTTTGCAATCTTGTCCGTATGTCTGTGTGTGTATGTGTGTATGTGTATCTGTAATCAAGATAACTTGAGTACCGATACAGCTAGGTTGATGAAATTTCATATATAAGTATTTTATCAAAATCGTAGATCCGTATCAACTTTTGAACGATTTCCGATAAAAGTGCTAATAATATTCCGCACTATTATACACGTATTGTGTTGGCGTTCACTTAGTGCGTAATTCTTTTTTCTACGAGACTCTATTTTAAAGTAATTAAAAATGATTTAAAATGTTGTCTATATACTGAGTTTCTATCCCCGGAGAACTATATAAGAATATTCGAGACAGTTTAGGGGAGATGACTCCAGGTTAGTAGGTTATTAACATGGCTGGACATGGCATGTTCTCTCCAGCGTTGCAAGATTACGTCATGGAGTCACCCACCCCTTCTCCACCCCACCCACTCTTGTCAGGACTTCCTGGCTTTTAGAAGACTATTTAACTCTAAATTATCATTCATTTAACTGGAACGATCATTGTTTTTCTCTATATATTCTGCTATTTTTTTTTGTCTTGGTGTCACCCCACCCCCTAAAATATGGTGTTACTAGGCGCGGACCGAACCCCACTTGCGACGCCTCTGGTGTGGACGGTACGGTGTGGACGGTAAGATATGGACGGTACGGAAAGGATGGTACGGTGTGGACGGTAAGATATGGACGGTACGGAAAGGATGGTACGGTGTGTACGATATGGTGTGAACGCCACAATGTGGACAGTACGGTATGGACGGTACGGTATGGACGGTACGGAATGGACGGTAAGATATGGACGGTACGGAAAGGATGGTACGGTATGGAAGGTACGGTATGGACGGTACGGTATGGACGGTACGGTGTGGACGGTATGGTGTGAACGCCATCGTATAGACGGTACGGTATGAACGTCACGGTGCGGATGGTACGGTATAGATGGTACGGTATAGATGGTACGGTATGGACAGCACGGTATCGATGGTAAGGTGTGGACGGTACGGTGTGGACGGTACGGTGTGGCACAAACAAACAAGGATCAGTATATGACAGCGGGTTGTCACGTCAGTATATGACAGCGGGTTGGTCACAAACAAGGGTCAGTATATGACAGCGGGTTGGTCACAAACAAGGGTCAGTATATGACAGCGGGTTGTCACGTCAGTATATGACAGCGGGTTGGTCACAAACAAGGGTCAGTATATGACAGCGGGTTGTCACGTCAGTATATGACAGCGGGTTGGTCACAAACAAGGGTCAGTATATGACAGCGGGTTGGTCACAAACAAGGGTCAGTATATGACAGCGGGTTGTCACGTCAGTATATGACAGCGGGTTGGTCACAAACAATGATGAACATGAGCCGATTAGACCGACATAAATTGTTATGTAGCTGACTACTCCGATTCACCTTCCGAACCTACGCACCAAGAAAGGACAGTAACCCTTATTAAAACAGATCTGTCAAGAAAAGCAAAAGTTACTTCCCGTTGATAAATCTTGATTTAGATAAGTTCCTTGATAGTTGTAACAGGAAATAAAAGAATAATAGAGTTTTAAATGTTACCTGCCATAGTAGTTTTTGTTCACACTCAAGAACAAAAAAACATTTCGTGTATACAAAGAAAAGGAGTGAAAGAAACCTGCCTACAAACACAAACTGAAATTTGAAAAGACCCGATAGGAAGTTGCCAAAATAAATTGTTTCGAGAGTACAACCATAGAAAGACAAGAATTTGAAAAAAAAAAAAGAACAAGGCCAATAACAAGTGCCGTTTTAAATTTTAATTGACAACCGTCACACTTTGACCTTTTTATCTGTACAAGATTTCTTTGAAGTGGTTGCTTTAGGTCAAGCTCTAAACTTTACGAAAATATCTATGATAAGTATGATATGAAGTATAGTTCAATTCCATCGATGATTTCATCTTGATAAGAAAAGATCTCTCCTCCACCATTGTTAGGTGGCCAGCTCAGGTTCTTCGTGTTAGTCCTCAAGATGACATTCTCCTTGACATCAAGATGACATTCTCTTTGACATCAAGATGACATTCTCTTTGACATCAAGATGACATTCTTCCTGACATCAAGATGACATTCTCTTTGACATCAAGATGACATTCTTCCTGACATCAAGATGACATTCTCTTTGACATCAAGATGACATTCTTCTTGACATCAAGACGACATTCTCTTTGACATTAAGATCACATTCTCTTTGACATTAAGATCACATTCTCTTTGACATTAAGATGACATCATCTTGTTTAGACATTACATCTTTAACCTCACTTTTCTCCGAAGATTTTATAAAAACCTACTAGCGATCAAAATCTGTGGCTAAAGACGTGGGTGGGTGGGTGGGTGGGTGGGTGGGTGGGTGGGTGGGTGGGTGGGTAGGTGTGGGTGTGTGTGTGAGGACAGAATGATTGTAACCAGTATTAGCACCACTATCATATAGGCTGGGGCGGACCAAAATAGCAAGTGCCTGAAGCAATGTCCGTCTAACATTATCATGATTTCTGAACTATTGATGATTTCTTTCCTTAATTTATTCAGCCTGTAGTATTGATGATCCTTATCCTAATTTAGCCGGCCTGTAGTATTGATGATCCTTCTCCTAATTTAGCCGGCCTGTAGTATTGATGATCCTTCTTCTAATTTAGCCGGCCTGTAGTATTGGTGATCCTTCTCCTAATTTAGCCGGCCTGTAGTATTGATGATCCTTCTCCTAATTTAGCCGGCCTGTAGTATTGATGATCCTTCTTCTAATTTAGCCGGCCTGTAGTATTGATGATCCTTCTCCTAATTTAGCCGGCCTGTAGTATTGATGATCCTTCTCCTAATTTAGCCGGCCTGTAGTATTGATGATCCTTCTCCTAATTTAGCCGGCCTGTAGTATTGATGATCCTTCTTCTAATTTAGCCGCCCTGTAGTATTGATGATCCTTCTCCTAATTTAGCCGGCCTGTAGTATTGATGATCCTTCTTCTAATTTAGCCGGCCTGTAGTATTGATGATCCTTCTCCTAATTTAGCCGGCCTGTAGTATTGATGATCCTTCTTCTAATTTAGCCGGCCTGTAGTATTGATGATCCTTCTCCTAATTTAGCCGGCCTGTAGTATTGATGATCCTTCTCCTAATTTAGCCGGCCTGTAGTATTGATGATCCTTCTCCCAATTTAGCCGGCCTGTAGTATTGATGATCCTTCTCCTAATTTAGCCGGCCTGTAGTATTGATGATCCTTCTCCTAATTTAGCCGGCCTGTAGTATTGATGATCCTTCTCCTAATTTAGCCGGCCTGTAGTATTGATGATCCTTCTCCTAATTTAGCCGGCCTGTAGTATTGATGATCCTTCTCCTAATTTAGCCGGCCTGTAGTATTGATGATCCTTCTCCTAATTTAGCCGGCCTGTAGTATTGATGATCCTTCTCCCTGACCTTGTTCAATATCGTCTTGGCCGTTCTCATTGTCATCCTCCAATACAAAAGCGAGAAAAGTTTTAAAATACAATAACATTATAATTAAGTCAATAGCCACACACACGGGCGTCGGGAGCGGCATTTGTGTGTGTAAACAGTGCAGCCGCAATTGCTAGAACCTTCTGTTGGTCAGATATAATCCAAGCCAAGTCCACACCAGAAATGACATGACGATGCAGTACATTTTCAACGTGTCATCTAGCGCGTCAAAACCACCCAATGCGACCACCACTGTCGGCATAGTACTGGCTACTTGAGTGTCAGCTCACCAAGATGCTACAATCCCTTTAAGCTCACCAAGATGCTACAATCCCTGTAAGTTCACCAAGATGCTACAATCCCTGTAAGCTCACCAAGATGCTACAATCCCTGTAAGCTCACCAAGATGCTACAATCCCTGTAAGCTCACCAAGATGCTACAATCCCTGTAAGCTCACCAAGATGCTACAATCCCTGTAAGCTCACCAAGATGCTACAATCCCTGTAAGTTCACCAAGATGCTACAATCCCTGTAAGTTCACCAAGATGCTACAATCCCTGTAAGTTCACCAAGATGCTACAATCCCTGTAAGTTCACCAAGATGCTACAATCCCTGTAAGCTCACCAAGATGCTACAATCCCTGTAAGCTCACCAAGATGCTACAATCCCTGTAAGCTCACCAAGATGCTACAATCCCTGTAAGCTCACCAAGATGCAACAATCCCTGTAAGCTCACCAAGATGCTACAATCCCTGTAAGTTCACCAAGATGCTACAATCCCTGTAAGCTCACCAAGATGCTACAATCCCTGTAAGCTCACCAAGATGCTACAATCCCTGTAAGCTCACCAAGATGCTACAATCCCTGTAAGCTCACCAAGATGCTACAATCCCTGTAAGCTCACCAAGATGCTACAATCCCTGTAAGCTCACCAAGATGCTACAATCCCTGTAAGCTCACCAAGATGCTACAGTCCGAGCGAGTCTAGACGACGAGACAGTTGCTGTGTAAACAGAGCGTTCATTGTTAGCGTCATCACAAAAAGGATTACCAGTATAAAATCAAGCATTGGTGTCATCGAGTTATTGGCATATGTACTATACCTGACCAATGTTGAGCAGACCCCTAACATTTTCACGCTGTTCCAATAGTATGGAGCACACATCTAGCAGACACACTGAGCGAGCTTATGTATCTGTGAACGTAACGTTGAGTAGATCTCGCTGAGTTTCTCTCAGGGCGCTTGATACTTTAAAAACGATCAGACTGGCGGCATACAGCACAAGGCTCAGTGACATCATGGCTACATTGATTTTTATAAATGCTAGAGCAATATCTTCTTGTCTAAATACAATTGGGATTTCTTCAACCATGGTTTCAGCAAAGCAGTTGCTTGAATATTTATCTAAATAAACCGCTGCCATGCGCTAATTTAACGAATATAATACTTTCAGATCCTCGAAAAAAAGTTTGAAAAAAATAATCACTGGTCAAAACCCGTCTAAACGATGGTAAGTAAAAGAGAAACAACTTCTGATCTAAGAAGTTCTGAAGAGGATAACTTCCCGTGTAAGAAGTTCTGGAGAGGATAACTTCCCGTGTAAGAAGTTCTGGAGAGGATAACTTCCCGTGTGAGAAGTTCTGGAGAGGATAACTTCCCGTGTGAGAAGTTCTGGAGAGGATAACTTCCCGTGTGAGAAGTTCTGGCAAAAATTCACCTAGCTAAAAAAATTTAGAAAGCTCTGTGACAGGCGCCACTAGCTTCGATAGGCCTATTTTCTAGATTCACTAGATTCACTTGATTGTTTTCCAAAATAGGTGTGCACGCACCACACATCATGTTTTTATGATGACAGGTCTCGCACATCATGGCTTTATGATGACAGAAAGAACTAGACAAAACTTCTCCTGGGAAACCTATTGTACCGTTGGCACTCAGCTCTAGCACAGGCATGCTATTCTCAAAAGCTGTACCTGCGTGTTTGCAGGCCTGCGCGAGTGCAGGTTTTTGTTTATTTGACCTATTCAACATTTCAGTACGGCTCTGGACTTTTCGCTCGTCTATGCCTTCTGCTAGACAGTTCTCTGTCATACCGGCAAACGGAACATATCCGTTCTGGTCATTCCAATATTTCTGTTCACCATCTTGATAGAAAAGTTTTTGTTTACGACAAAACGATTCTGATATCGAGCCACGGAACTCATTCTCCGCCAGCTCGACGTTATCGTCACCGCTGAAACATTGATTGAATGGCAACATCTTTGCAGCTTGGGGTTGCATTGAAGAATTCTGGATTTGCTTGGCGTTGTAGACGTGGTTCATGTTTTCATCTTTGACTAGCTGCTTAAGGAAATGAGACTGAAAGAAAACATCTGAGTGGTGGAGCTTGGCTGTAGCTATCTCAGGCTTGCCTTCAAACATTCTCTCCACTTGATGCTGTCTGTCTGGGGATGAATTGTCTGAGTGTTTTGTCGATTGATATGTGGGATGGCTGAGCTGGTAGACGTGTCTGACTGGATAAAGGTTACATTTGTTTGCAGTGTTAGGTCCTGACGCTAGTAAAACTAAATTATTTGACACTTGATTCTTTTCACTCGGCTTTTCGCTCGCATCAGCTCTTAGTCGGTAATATTCATCATCGTCCCTAGCAGTGCCTTCCTTCATATTGGAAGTGCCCTCTTGTGCGTAGACTGTTAAGTAAGCTGCAGAAGTGGGATCACTAGCAGCAACCTGGGATTTTGGATTCCAGCAAAGTCGAGCGTCATGCACGGCAGTTACTGGATGTCCACAGGTAGGTGCTGGACTGACAGATTGACCGAGGGGATGCTGCAAAACATGGGGGTTGTGGCAATGCTGGTAGGGGGTTGCATCGTTTGTAGTTGAACATGTAGGCCTAGGATGATAAGATGATGCCATATGATTGAAGGCTAGCACTGACTCGCTGACCCCTCGGTAGCTGGGGGACCTGGAGGTGTATCGTTGTTTTCTTGAAGGAGATGCACAATTCTCCCTCGGTGAGCCCATACATGTGTTTTGTGCTAGCAGAGGGTTACGATAGTTCAACCTGTACTGATGTGTTGCTTGTGAAAACTGGGACTTTTCATCTTTCTGTGCTTCTTGTGGTGGGAAAAAGGATTGCGGGTATATTGCATTGGGGTACACGGGATGTAATGGTGAAACGTGACACGTCGTTTGGTTCGGGAATGGAAGAGGTAAGTGTGGGGGTGAACTTTTGGGTAATCCAGCTTGAGAGAGATTGAACAGAGGTAAGTGTGGGGGTGAGGTTTTGGGTAATCCAGCTTGAGAGAGATTGGACAGAGGTAAGTGTGGGGGTGAGGTTTTGGACTGCACACAGTAATGTGAATAGCTGTCCAAGTGAGATGAAGCGCCGTTGAATGATGCTCTAGTCTGGCTAACATACTTTGGTGGGTTCAATATCTGTGCTAGCTTCACCCCAACGGCCTCTTGCCTGCACGATTGACCCTGACAGAAGAAGTTGTAATGCTTCGGAGTAGAGCTTTCAGATAAAAGATTGTAAGAGGCATACACACGATTGGCTTCTTCTGGTTCCATTTCAATCAAACTTGTGTTTTCTTTTACCTGCGCAAATTTTAAAAATACCACATATAGGCATAGGGATAGGCATAGGTTTTTTTTCTAGACATGTTTAGTGTACATGTCGAAACTGTAAACGCGGTAGAACAATAAATTTTCAAAACTGATTCATTTATTTTCTTTTGTCTGTCATTGAGATCGAGATAACTAATGTGGAGAGGCAAATTTGATCCACTTTTGTGCCATTTAAAAAAAAACTGACAAAAAGTGCTTAGACAAAGAGAGTATTCAGCGGTTCCAATACAAAAAATGACAGAGTTGTCATGTATTTATATAAAAGTATATGCTAAATATAAAAAAAAGCTTCTTCTCTTCAGAAACGGTATCAATGCTTAAATGAGACAAAAGGATATGAAAATATGGAGTGAATACTAGCTCAATGTTAGCTGGCACAAAATACTGACGAGAATTTCTTCCAATGAAAATCAAGTAACAAGACTATTGTGTTTGAAGGAAAACAGCTAGACCCTCGCAGTACTAGTACGTACGATTGCTAACACGAAAGTCTCGAGTTCGGATCCCTGGCGCTATAGTCCGTAGGACGTCGCTGAGTCCACCCAGCTTTGATGGGAACCTGACATTTAGGGAAAATAATGACGGTTGGATATAGTGCTGAACACACTAACGATTCATTTGCTGAGACTAGAGAAACATGTGGACTCTATTTCTCCTGCCATTACACATTATATTATTCACTTTTTATTTCTTTGTTGAATGTACACGTTTTTGATGACATTTCTCAATGTCGACACCTCAGTCAGTCTAGAAGAAAGATTCTTGTGTTCTAGAAGCGCGTCTAAGCGTCGAATAAAAACATTCTTCCAGATGTTCCAAATAAATGGAACTGTGATCAACACTTGACTGAAGTCATTGAAATCCTCATGTGTCGCTTAAGAAAATCTAATTTACAATTAGAAGAGCGTGTTTCCCACTGAGTTGAGTATTCTACTTTAAAAACTAGTATAGGTATAGTTTTAAAAAATAACATCAGTATCACTTATCCAAGCATTCATTTATCCGTTGACAAATGTGCATGTGCCACTTTAAATCGCAGTATTACTTGTAAATAATTGCCAATTAAATCGCTGTAGCACATACATAATGATTAACAGTTACTGTAATACTTACATAAGGATTACCAGATAGAAAGTTATCGCTCCGTCTTCTTTTGCGAGGCGGAGAATTCAGTTCATCTTTTATACATATGCTGGGTGCTTGTGACTTCTCGTGCAAAGAGGTATTGAAGATATATTAAGATACTAAATCGATAGATTTACACACACAAGTATATATATATATATATATATATATATATATATATATATATATATATATATATATATATATATATATATATATATATATACATATATCAACATATTACGATCGAGCTTATATTAAATTACACCAAAAAAAAATTTACCTTTTTACCTCACGATAAACTTATTTCCAACTATAATACCTCACGGTAAACTTATGTCCAACTATAATACCTCACGGTAAACTTATGTCCAACTATAATACCTCACGATAAACTTATTTCCAACTATAATACCTCACGGTAAACTTATGTCCAACTATAATACCTCACGGTAAACTTATGTCCAACTATAATACCTCACGGTAAACTTATGTCTAAGTAATAACTCCACCCCATTTTGTATCGAACATTTTGTATTGAACATTTTGTATCGAACATTTTGTATCGAACATTTATCAATTTTTGTATCGAACATTTATCAATTTTTGTATCGAACATTTATCAATTTTTGTATCGAACATTTATCTATTTTTTATCGAACATTTATCATTTTTGTATCGAACATTTATTTATTTTTTGTATCGAACATTTATCATTTTTGTATCGAACATTTATCATTTTTGTATCGAACATTTATCATTTTTGTATCGAACATTTATCATTTTTGTATCGAACATTTATCATTTTCGTATCGAACTTTTATCATTTTTGTATCGAACATTTATCATTTTTGTATCGAACATTTATCATTTTTGTATCGAACATTTATCATTTTTGTGTCGAACATTTATCAATTTTTGTATCGAACATTTATCGTTTTTGTATCGAACATTTACCTTTTTGTATCGAACATTTATCATTTTTGTATCGAACATTTATCATTGATCAGTTTGAGAAAGTGGAACATTAGTGTGTAGTCTAATTTCTACAACGGTTCGGGTAAGAACATGTATGGACATATGGACATATTTATGGACATGTATACTATCCCAACAGAACATACTTACATAACCATAACCAGATGGATCTTCCAAACTCCATTTTCTTTTGCGTGGAGGCGACTTGAAAAGATCAGTGGTGTCGGAAGAAATATTTGCAGCATTCTTGACACTACCAAGTTTATCGGCCTCTTTGTTTCCATCTTCTATTTTTCTGGCTTTCAACTCCTTATATTTTATTTTAAGTTTCAGCCATTTCATATTAGCTTTAGCCAAGCGCTTTGTTTCAATCTATTTGAAAAGAGCTTTCATTAAACCAATGTTTAATTTAGTCACAATAATAAACAATTTTCACACAATCAACTTACACTAAGAGCTTCTTTTAGAGAATTGACTTGGTTCTGAAGGGAAATAATTTCTTGGTTGCTTTCTTTTACTTGTGATCTTAAGCAAACAATTTCAGTATTTGACCTAACAAGACTTTTGACTTGACCTGCAATCAAATCCCCTTATTAGAAATACATACGTGTACGTATAATACACACACACACACCACACACGCACACTTATTTATTTATTTATATATTTATATATTAATATATATTTATATATTTATTTATTTATTTATTTATTTATTTATTTATTTATTTATTTATTTATTTATTTATTTATTTATTTATTTATTTATTTATTTATTTATTTGTTTGTTTGTTTGTTTGTTTGTTTATTTATTTATTTACTTATTTATTTATTTACTTATTTATTCATTTACTTATTTATTTAGTTATTTATTTACTTACTTACTTACTTACTTATTTATTTATTTATTTATTTATTTATTTAATCATAATTCTGTCAATGACATTCTTTTTATAGATTTTTAGCGTTATTCCCCTTTGTCAGTAAATATCTATATATATAATTCTCTTCTTCGAGCCGTTAGAAAACAAGCTGCAAACGCTCTCCCTACCTCCCCACCCCTACATGGTTTTAGTGAGCTGTGTTCACTCTAAATGTTTACAAGCAGAGCCAACGATTTTAAACGTAGGGGGGGGGGGGGGGGGGAGTGGGGGGGGGGAAGGAGGGGGGGGGTTATGGTCCTTAACGAGCTACTTATAGTGTTTTAAAGAAATATTTTTAGTGTCAGCGTTGGTACTGTCGAATTCACAAATTATGAATTATTGAAAATTAGAAACAACTAAATAGCGGCGTATGTTATGCCGCGGGCCGGCTCGTATATTTAAATTGTCGTCATTCGCAATTTTTTGCTTGGTCAGTTGATCATCTTTAGCCAATGATTCAATAACAATTTTTTTTTCTGGGATTTGTAAAATATGCGGAAGGTCTTAATTGTCACATTTTCCCTTAAACTTAAAACTTTTTTCGGTCTCCTTTCTAATTTTTTTCTTGCCAATTTATTGTGACACTGTTGTGTGATTTAGTTTAGTGTCCTATTGTATAGTGCACTGTTGTGGGATTTAGTTTAGTGTCCTATTGTATAGTGCACTGTTGTGTGATTTAGTTTAGTGTCCTATTGTACAGTGCACTGTTGTGGGATTTAGTTTAGTGTCCTATTGTATAGTGCACTGTTGTGGGATTTAGTTTAGTGTCCTATTGTATAGTGCACTGCTGTGTGATTTAATTTAGTATCCTATTGTATAGTGCACTGTTGTGTGATTTAGTTTAGTGTCCTTTTGTATAGTGCACTGTTGTGTGATTTAGTTTAGTGTCCTATTGTATAGTGCACTGTTGTGTGATTTAGTTTAGTATCCTATTGTATAGTGCACTGTTGTGTGATTTAGTTTATTGTCCTTTTGTATAGTGCACTGTTGTGTGATTTAGTTTAGTGTCCTATTGTATAATGCACAGTTGTGGGATTTAGTTTAGTGTCCTATTGTATTGTGCACTGTTGTGGGATTTAGTTTAGTGTCCTATTGTATAGTGCACTGTTGTGTGATTTAGTTTAGTGTCCTATTGTACAGTGCACTGTTGTGGGATTTAGTTTAGTGTCCTATTGTATATTGCACTGTTGTGGGATTTAGTTTAGTATCCTATTGTATAGTGCACTGTTGTGGGATTTAGTTTAGTATCCTATTGTATAGTGCACTGTTACTGTATAGTTTACCAGAAATTGAGATAATTTCATAAACTATTATTACCTGCCCATTTGCATATAGCCACTCTTCTTTTCAGTATAACGTGTTCCTCGTTGGATCTAATGTTGTTCCCTTTTACTCTTCTCATTTCCTCTACGGCTACTGATTCCTTTGTGCAAACAAAAAATAGAACAAGATGGCAAAAATTGAGGAGACAAATAAGCTAGACTAAGAAAGTGTGAGATAATGGAGGACCTGGGTAGCAAAGATTTGGTGTTTACCCAAGGTTTAAGGCTGGGGCTCCGGGAAGAAAGGTTTAAGGCACGGGCAGTGCACTAAGTGGTGCACGATGGCATGAAGAAATGAACAGTTCCAAATCTCTACAAGCTGACTTCTGAATACTTGAAACTCGTGTATACAGCATTTCTGCAAGGAGAATAGACGGAATAGTTTAGACCCAATAACTGAGTCAATTGGCTCACACTAGTAAAATTCACTACGTTACAATTACATTTACTTTTAAAAAGTTGACGTTTCAAATGGATCTATGTAAACAAGCCGATTATTCTCCTTGGAATGCGATTCTGTTTAAGACTAGCATAGTTTGCGGAGTTTTGGTTGATCAAAAAGATAAAGATAATGGTGTTGTAAATAGAATGAAACAACTACTGAAATGTGTAGTGATTTGAGAGCTGTGACAAAAATAATTGCAATGTGCGGGACAAAAAACTGCAAGCAGTGCCGCGAGACTGGTGAGAGAGTCAATAGGATACTTGCAACCTACCACTTTATCTTTCAATGGGCTGCGAGTAGACCACATTGTTACGGGAGAGACGGTTGTTTCGACTGCTTTCTCCCAGCTTATCTCCTCTGTTTGTCGCTTCGTGTCTTTGTTGGTTTCTATTTCTCTCTTTGGTGGAGAACGGCAAGAATGAAACGCTTTCTTAGTTGGTGTTCGTACAACCGGTCGGAACAGCAACACGGCATCTTTCTCCTTTGTCTCGCCAAAGGTTGATTTTTTTAGACCTGCTGTATCTTTGGTTCGATACATCTCCCGTCTCTCTGCTGTAGATTCGACATTACAGATCTCTCGTCTCTCTGCTGTAGATTCGACATTACAGATCTCTCGTCTCTCTGCTGTAGATTCGACATTACAGATCTCCCGTCTCTCTGCTGTACATTCGACATTACAGATCTCTCGTCTCTCTGCTGTAGATTCGACATTACAGATCTCCCGTCTCTCTGCTGTAGATTCGACATTACAGATCTCTCGTCTCTCTGCTGTAGATTCGACATTACAGATCTCTCGTCTCTCTGCTGTACATTCGACATTACAGATCTCCCGTCTCTCTGCTGTAGATGTGTAAGTGAGATCTCCAATCTGCTCGCTATGTTTGAGGCCGATGTCTTGTGGGGTTATTGTGTGATCATTAATATTTTTTTCCTGGCAGAAAATTTCATTTTGAACGCATATCTTATTTTCTCTCAAGTTTCTAGCACGTTTTCTTAAAAGTTTTGCTAATGTTCTTAGAGCTGTCGATCGGGTCCTATTATTATTCTGAACAACGCTAACACGTTTCGCTTTGCCGTTAACATATGAAGAAGCACAGGTAGACGCTGAATCATTTGGTTGTAATTGCACTTTTGTACCCACTAATTCCTTTGTGTCTGTAAAAAAATTGTTCTCAATTTTTTATTTAAATAGATGATTGTAAAAGACGATTTATTTAGCAGTGAATAAATATACATCGATAAAAAAATAATTGTGTCAGTCAAGTTTTCTAAGTCTATCGCTGGATTTGGATTTTGTTGGGTCAGTCAAGTATTCAACACTCTATTGAGAGGTTTAGTTTAGATTTTATTGGGTTAGCCAAGTATTCAACACTCTATTGATAGGTTTAGTTTAGATTTCATTGGGTTAGTCAAATATTCACAAATTTAAAATATTATATATAGCATATTCAATTAAAAGACAAAATTCTAAGAAAGTATGTTTTTCTCGAAAAGCTAGCATTTTATGCAGAGGCGTAGCGACACATTCCGGCGCCTGGGGCGAGCTATCAAATTTGCGCCTCCCCCTATTTATAAATATAATTATTATTGCTGAAAAAGCTTTCATTTATTTTTTCTACCCCTTTTGGTGCCCCCTTAGGATCGGCGCCCGGGGCAGCCGCACCATACGTCCTCACCTAGCTACGCCACTGATTTTGTCTCAAACGTCTATACCTCTGTATGCCTATTCGACTGAATGTGCCATTGCAATCCTTAGAATATACGAGAACTTTTAGAGGATCTCACTTTGTTACTTCCTCGTATACACAGGATAGTATTATGATCGTGTTGAATAATTGACAGATATTTTGACAGTCTTCTCAGTTTTACACCTCTCTCTCTCTCTCTCTCTCTCTGCGTGTGCGTGCGTGTGTGTGTGCGTGCGTGTGTGCGTGCATGTCTCCTACCTTGCGTTTTTCTCTTCACGACATTGGCATAGCTTGTCCGTTTAACTTCACTGGTAGAACCCTGACATGATGGAACTAAGGCTGGTTTAACTTCACTGGTAGAACCCTGACATGATGGAACTAAGGCTGGTTTAACTTCACTGGTAGAACCCTGACATGATGGAACTAAGGCTGGTTTAACTTCACTGGTAGAACCCTGACATGATGGAACTAAGGCTGGTTTAACTTCACTGGTAGAACCCTGAGATGATGGAACTAAGGCTGGTTTAACTTCACTGGTAGAACCCTGACAGGATGGAACTAAGGCTGGTTTAACTTCACTGGTAGAACCCTGACAGGATGGAACTAAGGCTGGTTTAACTTCACTGGTAGAACCCTGACATGATGGAACTAAGGCTGGTTTAACTTCACTGGTAGAACCCTGACATGATGGAACTAAGGCTGGTTTAACTTCACTTGTAGAACCCTGACATGATGGAACTAAGGCTGGTTTAACTTCACTAGTAGAACCCTGACATGATGGAACTAAGGCTGGTTTAACTTCACTAATAGAACCCTGACATGATGGAACTAAGGCTGGTTTAACTTCACTGGTAGAACCCTGACATGATGGAACTAAGGCTGGTTTAACTTCACTGGTAGAACCCTGACAAGATGGAACTAAGGCTGGTTTAACTTCACTGGTAGAACCCTGACAGGGTGGAACTAAGGCTGTTTGTGGGCCGTCCATTAAAACATCTGCAGTCAAACACTCCTCTGGCTCCTGGAAAAACTTCCAAGTATTATCCTGAGAAAATATTAAAACAAATATTTGTTGTGAAACATAAAACTAGGACGATCAGTAAGAAATGTAAACACTGTGCGCGAACATACCTTATTTTGAAGGTTACAGTTCGGATCTAAAAATTGGTTCTGGATTCTGTCTACGATGCCTGATTTTGTATGAAAATATTTGCTGCGTAACTTCATCTTTTGCAGCTCGGACTTTCGTGCAGACTGGCAAATCAAAACGAAGATTTAAAGTACACTTCAGTCTAGACTTATGTTTAGTTTAAGAAAATAGTCTAGATTAACGAGAAGATTTAGAAAACAGTCAAAACTAATCGGAAGATTATGAAGACTGATTTACCAGGTGGAGGATTTCAAAGACAATCTTGAATTAAAACAAATATAAAAACCTTAATAATAACAAGCTTATAAAATGCACTGAAAATAAACACGTATTCTTTAATAAAAGCTTCGGTTGCTAAGAAAAATGTAAAAATATCACGCTTTGCTATTTTTCCTGGCCCTTTGTTGTTTTGAGTGATTCTACAACCGTGATGTCCCCCATCAATTTGCTTTATTGCCTACTTCATTTACTGCACCTCACAGGAAAAACAAATTGTGTTGTGTTGAGTTAGTCTAAGGATATGAGGTATATGAAGAGGAACTATGTTTTGAGAATTTTTCGATAAAATTGAATATTGATCCCCAAAAATGTGCATAACGGTAGAACGCACAACTACTGTATCGAAAGTCTCGAGACTTGAATCAGTAGGACGTTCCTGAGTCCTTCCAGCTCTGGTGGAACTGACTCACGGTTGGGAAAGTAAAGACGACTTAGTAGAGTGATGACAACACTATCCATTCGTATGACATGATCATTGAAAGTGAGGAGCTCTATCTGCGTGGTGGACCACTAGGGTCTACAGTTATAAAATCCTCCATGTAGGCTATTTAATAGAACAAATAAGAAGGGGGAAAATAGAAATATCTTACTTTAACTTTGTATTTGGCTTTGAACGCCTGAAGTACCGATTTGGATGTTTTATGAAGCAGCATATTGTCACATTCCTTCAAGTCTTTGACATCGTTGTTGCCTCTAGGCGGCGGCAGGGCGTCCATTATATCCAGGAGATAGGCGGGAATGTATGCTGGTCTGTCCGGAGATGAACTGAAGGCCAAGCCTCGAGCAATGTTTTGTGAATTTCCCTTGTTGTTCTCTTCTGGGGCCGTGATATCCGTTCTAATGCTGGGTACCATCTGGCTGTTGGACTTAACCAGCTCTGGCGGTGTGTTGTGTTGTGAAGGTAAAGCAGGGAAGCCTTGGTCGGACACGTCCTTCAGTAAAGAGCTGCTCATCTCCTCCACGTGTGGGCAGTCTTCTTGTGACTGGAGGACTGGTGTTTCCCCCTGTGGTACACAAACCAGATATACACTTATCGATCGGCTAATCGTGTCTGTTTTTCTCTATTCATCAATGGCACTTAGTAGTTCATTTCATCTACTTCAGCTATTATAAGCAATTTGAGATAGAAATTCTTGGATTGTCTCGTTATCATTTCTTTTTAGATGTAAGTAACTTGTAAGATGTGTAAAATGTACGTGTGTAATGTGTAAGACTATCAAAATATGGACACGTTGTGTGTAAAACGAGTCCAATGTAACTATGTAGTATGTAAGACGCGATAGAAGAAGGTATGTATGTAGTGTTTAAGACACGAGCAAACACAAAATGAAAATAAAACGTTGAAGAAGCCATCGATACACGCGTTATTTCATGTACGGTGGATGGGTGGGTGTTTAAAGGTTTTCCAAAAATGAAATTAGATGTCATTGGGTATCAGTTTCCCATTAGCTGTGACACTGTTATTTGTCAGTTGTAGAGATGTTCAAGGTGCTGAGCTTTGTTATGTGCTAACATTATTGGCGTGTTTAACAAGCAAGGTGCTGAGCTTTGTTATGTGCTAACATCATTGGCGTGTTTAACAAGCAAGGTGCTGAGCTTTGTTATGTGCTAACATTATTGGCGTGTTTAACAAGCAAGGTGCTGAGCTTTGTTATGTGCTAACATCATTGGCGTGTTTAACAAGCAAGGTGCTGAGCTTTGTTATGTGCTAACATTATTGGCGTGTTTAACAAGCAAGGTGCTGAGCTTTATTATGTGCTAACATTATTGGCGTGTTTAACAAGCAAGGTGCTGAGCTTTGTTATGTGCTAACATTATTGGCGTGTTTAACAAGCAAGGTGCTGAGCTTTGTTATGTGCTAACATTATTGGCGTGTTTAACAAGCAAGGTGCTGAGCTTTGTTATGTGCTAACATTATTGGCGTGTTTAACAAGCAAGGTGCTGAGCTTTGTTATGTGCTAACATTATTGGCGTGTTTAACAAGCAAGGTGCTGAGCTTTGTTATGTGCTAACATTATTGGCGTGTTTAACAAGCAAGGTGCCGAGCTTTGTTATGTGCTAACATTATTGGCGTGTTTAACAAGCAAGGTGCTGAGCTTTGTTATGTGCTAACATTATCGGCGTGTTTAACAAGCAAGGTGCTGAGCTTTGTTATGTGCTAACATTATTGGCGTGTTTAACAAGCAAGGTGCTGAGCTTTGTTATGTGCTAACATTATTGGCGTGTTTAACAAGCAAGGTGCTGAGCTTTGTTATGTGCTAACATTATGGAAGTGTTTAACAAGCAAGGTGCTGAGCTTTGTTATGTGCTAACATTATTGGCGTGTTTAACAAGCAAGGTGCTGAGCTTTGTTATGTGCTAACATTATGGAAGTGTTTAACAAGCAAGGTGCTGAGCTTTATTATGTGCTAACATTATGGAAGTGTTTAACAAGCAAGGTGCTGAGCTTTGTTATGTGCTAACATTATGGAAGTGTTTAACAAGCAAGGTGCTGAGCTTTGTTATGTGCTAACATTATGGAAGTGTTTAACAAGCAAGGTGCTGAGCTTTGTTATGTGCTAACATTATGGAAGTGTTTAACAAGCAAGGTGCTGAGCTTTGTTATGTGCTAACATTATGGAAGTGTTTAACAAGCAAGGTGCTGAGCTTTATTATGTGCTAACATTACGGGAGGGTTTTACAAAACTAAAGGTGTAAATGGTCAGAAGGTAAAGGTTAGCTCGACGGTTATGGGGTTGAGGTTTAGCTCACCTATTGGCCAAAGTTCAAACTTGAACACGTAGAAAACACGTAGAAACAAGTTCTTACCTCTATACTGATCTCGGCAAAAAGATTCTGTAGGTTGCAAAACACATCGGTTTTTTTTCTAATGTGTTGCTGTTTATTTCTTTTCGTTTTGCTTGACCTGCAATATTTTTTTTTCAAAGCTTTGAGCTCTTCACCGGGAATGTGGACAACTGTGACCTTCTCTACATCGGTTTCTATTAAGTTTTCTTTAAGCTCTTGATCCGATTTCCTTCCTTTTTGTATGTCTTTTTTTTTTCTTGGATTGCCTTGTTCAGTTTTCAAACATATTTTCTTTCCGATGGATATTTCATCGATAATTTCTGCGTTGTGTTTCGATAGAGTTTCAACTGTTTCAGTTTTTCGACTTTTGTTTTTACGGCTTGTCCTTGTCGTCTCACTCCTAACATCTGTCTCGCTAACATTGCAATCGTGTGATTTCTTCAGCCTGTTTGAATGATCAGTTGACATGGTTTTGTGAAGCCAGTGGTGGCTTTTCTTGTCGTTCTCCATGCATTCAGTGTCGGCAGTGTTAGCACCATAATTCTCTCTAACCTGTTGTGAAGATTCAAGAACGTTTTTGTTCTTTCTTTTCTTACACCTTTTATTTTGCTTTGCTTGACTAACTTTAGACTTACAACAATCAGATTCTCCCCCATTGATGACCTCAATAAGGATCTTTCTATCCTGACTTAAGTTGTACGTTTCAGAACTCTCTTCTTCAGACATTGATTCATCACCTAGCAACTTCAAACGGTCGACAAAAGAGGATGGATTATGTTCTATACATACTATTTCTTCCGGTTTCTTTTTAGACTTCTTTCTTCTATCTCGCTTCGTGTTTGTACAAATCTGTGCTAAACCCTCTGTCTTAATTCCTTTATTTCCATCAGATATGCTTTGTTTATCACAGAATTCCTTGTCAATTTCTGCCTTCTCTTGGCTAGCTTCTGTTACTTGCATTTCCTTCTCTACGCTAACGTTCTCTGATAGACTGCCTTCAGCACGTGTTGGAGAAAATGGCAAAGTAGGTTTTCTTTTCAAACACGTCGGGGCAAAGTTCTTAGCGGCATGCTCAACTGTATCATCTTTGATTAGTGCCTCTGATTTGGCCTCTGTTTTCGCTGATTCTTTAGATGGAGAAGTTGACAAGACCACAATGTCAGACAAATCAGACAATGATGCATGTTTATTGCATGGGCTATCATTTGCCAATTCCCAGTCGTCATCAATAGACAGTAAGACTGGTGACTCAGAGGTTCCTGGTAGAGAAAACATTTAGTGCTTGTTTACAAATAAACATGTAATTTTTGTTATAGAAGGACAGGTGATTAGAACTAGTAATATGCTAATATTGATATAGTGCTCGATGATATTAGAGCAGGGATCGGCAACCTCGCGAGCCGCATGCGGCTCTTTTGATGTCAAGATGCGGCTCTTCGGATCCATGCACAAATATTAATAAATAATTATTTTATGTTAATTTCAAAACTCGTAAAATATTGTTCTGCAACAGTCGGTAATGAACGATATAATAATAAACATAAACAATAAACACTCGCTTTTCTATTAGAATATTTAAGTACTCCCTATTTCAATTTACTTCCTATTAAGCTGTTCATCCCCAATTGAAACATTCAACTTCATGATAGATATCACAAAGAAACTAAACGAGTTAGATGTAAAACTGCCAGAAAAGGAAAACTCAGCCTATGCCTTGCTTGAGAAGTGGATGTTTCGAAAAAAAAATACTTTTTTTTTTGGTTGAAGACACGGGGAGCGGTAAATAACTTGATTTCGAAAATCTGAAAAAAATATCTAGAAACCAATGCAACTATTAGCATGAATTGCTTCAGCATTACAACAAACAAAACGAAGGATGGATTCACTGAGAGATTTGAGAAATTCAAAACAAATGCAAGTAGGCCTACTCTGACGTTCATATTAGATCCTCTCAACACAAAAATAAATGAGACTAACTTTGAGCTATTTGTAATTGAATCTGCTTCGCTTCAAATGCGATTGCAGGATTTGAAAACTTATCATTTGTGGAGTGGGAAATTCACAGAACTCAAAGAGCAAGTAAAAATAGTTGAAGGTCCAGTAAAACATGCACGTTAGGCTGAACAACTGGACATCTGTAAAAGAAACATCGCGAGTTGAGGCACTCATACGTGACGCATGGAATTGATTTGCAGGATGGTACAGTAACGTGGAGAAGTTGACATCTAGAGTGCTGACGATCTTTAGGTTAACATATTCGTACTAGCAAGAGTTCTCTTACATGAATATTATAAACAGTTATGTAAGAAGCCAACTAACAAATAAAAATCTAGAGGCATGCTTGAAGAAACCTCCTAAAACAAGAAGTTATGAGCCAGATTTAAACAAACTTTCAAACGGCATGCAAGGTCAATACTTCCATTGATGTAACTAATGTAAATATTCAATGATTATAGTTATATTTTATGATTACTAATTTTAATATTCTAGCAGAGCTAGCTAAAATACTATAATATGTTTTGTGTGAAACATGTGTATTTTTTTTTTAAATAAGAATATTATTTCATATTTAAAGCTATATATTTAAATTTTATATAAATATATATATATATATATATATATATATATATATATATATATATATATATATATATAGATATGCACCAAATCCTAAATATTGAAAAAAATGTTAGTGGCTCTTTAAAAACTGGTCTCAAAAGGTTGCCGACCCCTATATTAGAGCATTGCTCTGATACGACTAACTGTTTCATGGTCTGCATGTTCTGGTATGGTATTAAACTTTGTTCAAACTGGTGTATCCTTTTTATCGGAGACTTCGCTGCCTTGATACAACTTTGGCAATTTGCCAGTCAGAACTCGAGTTAAAGTATGCTGTTTTAGCAAACAAATGTTACAAGACCTATTCAAATACGTACAATTCTAGAGTAAAATATTATTCTTGCTCTAGTGAACATAGTTCTAGGTTTCTCCCAATACATGATTGAACACGATTAACAATATGTAAGATATTGCTGGGTTTCTTCATAACATCATTGAGTTTGGATAAAGTCAAGAAAAGCCACAAAGATTCACGAATTACCTGAAGATGAGTCAGACAGGGCAAGCGGTCCGTCTAAAGAACAGTCCCCTTTCGGAACAGTTTCGTAGAGCTCCATATCTAAGTCCCAAGACTCTTTGTATTTGATCATAAATGGCCGACTCAGACCCAAAACTTCATTCTTCTTGTTGATGTAGGCGAACTGATACTTCAGAGTAACACTTTCAAGAGGCTACAAGAACAAATTTATCAAATGCATTCTATTCATTCATCTATTTTAAATTACTGTGAAAGTACATTTGATTCAATCTTTTATAAGATGTACACATACTAATCGCTTGCTGTTATGGTGTATTCCAGACAGCGAGCATTTTAAATGTAGCACTATCTGACAGCGAACATTTTAAATGTAGCACTATCTGACAGCGAACATTTTAAATGTAGCACTATCTAACAGCGAACATTTTAAATGTAGCACTATCTGACAGCGAGTATTTTAAATGTAGCACTATCTGACAGCGAACATTTTAAATGTAGCACTATGTGACAGCGAACAGTTAAAATGTAGCACTATCTGACAGCGAGCATTTTAAATGTAGCACTGTGACAGCGAACAGTTAAAATGTAGCACTATCTAACCGCGAACAGTTTAAATGTAGCACTATCTAACCGCGAACAGTTTTAATGTAACACTACCTTGTTTTGAACATTACTAGATTAAAATCAAAACCTGAATCAATTTATTGGAAAATGTAGCTTTTCGCTCCAGTGTTGTTATGGTATCTGATGCTTTAGTTGTCCATTGGAAGGTCAAAGGGTGACGGGTGTCCCTAAAGCCATTGAGAAAGATTCCTATCCAGTCATTGGGGGTGGCGCTTACTCGGGACCCAAGCGTGTAAAAAACTGTGACGTCACTTCCGGGCGGGTAGACATCCATTGAATTGAAGTCCACCTGCTCCTAGAACAACAGCAAAAAAAAAAATCCATTTTTTTTTTTAACTTTTCCTAGTCAACGGATCCATTCCATTTTTTTTTAATATTCTGTGTACAAATGTGTGGAGTTGTCTGTTGAAAGTAACACTTTGGCAATTATGGGTACTGTCGATAAAGAATAATTAGAGACTGAGATAGGATACCAGCCAATTAGAAGTCTAAAGATTTTGCTTTGAGTATTCGAGTATGATTATAAACGATACTATAAACTAAAATGTAGTGGGAGTGTTAGAGCTTTATGATTAGGTCTCTGCTTATAGAATTACAGCTCTACGACAGGAATGATTCAAGTTTACCTTGTTTTTATATTCACATATAGGGTTAGGATTATGAGTAAGATTTGGACCAGAAGTTAGGTCTATGGATAGGGCCAGAGCTAGGGTCATGGAAAAGGTTAAAATTTAGGTTGGGGATGGCAGTAAGTGTTAAGTTTAAAGTTTAAAGAGCGATTCAAACAACTGTTTGCCTTCATTACTTCATACCACCAATGGAACAAGTATTAAAGGGAATACTGACTTGTGTACTGTTGATGTCCTCAAATCCATTACGATCCTCAGTGTTACAACTAGAGTTCATGATGGCGCGACACAGGGAGTACAGCTGCGGTAGTGACGAGCTCACGATGTACAAATGGAACTGGTCCAACTTTTGATAGGCCCTGCTGTTTCATTGATAAGTTACGGGACGGATCAACCTGCTCATTCTAGTATCACTAATAACTATACCATAGTAAATTGTAACCTATAGCTATTAATAGATTCCACTAAAAAAGTTTATTAGAGGTAAGATTGCTAAATTATAGATCTAGATCTAGTTGGTGGAGTCTGGATATGGATACTAGTAGATGTAGTATAGCATTAAATTATTAGTTGCTGTAAACAACGTGTGATGTATTCAAAATACTATTATTAATTTTGTCTCAACATACGCAAGCTGGATTCTAAATCTAGATCTAGATCTGCTCTAGAGATATTCTGATCTAGGATATAGATCTTGATTCTAGACTCTAGAATAGATCTAGATCTAGACTTTCTAGATATAAAACCTCTAGATTTTAGATATATTTTTCTTTAGATTCTCGATCTAGATCTAGATCTAGATTTCTAATCACAAGAGATTTTTAAAGCACCTACCATATACTGATTGAAATTTTTAAAAAGATATCTGTTGTATTATAAAATGTTTCCCATTATAATTTATTGGTGGATTCTTTCTTCTCTAATGGAGGTTAGCACCACCCCCTTATCCCGTTCAACAGAACAATTATTATGTTTTAAAAATCTAACAACTTCATGACGTCATACAGAGTAAGCAAACATTTTTATTAACGCCGATTTGAGAGTGTGCACTAACCTTGATGACGCATTTTACAAAACATTTCTTTATTTTTCTTTATTTGTAACAGTGAGCTATAGCTCATATTCTAATAATAAGAGGTAGAGTTTCACATAGGCCCACATCTCGTGACCAGATACAATGGGGCAGACTCTGAGACTTCGAATATAGATTATATTTTTACTTCCTGGCATACGAAGTAGGCCTATAGAGGAATTATTGAAATTTAATTGTGTAAAAATCGAAATTTTAATGAAAATATTATTGAGAGTTAATAAGAGTGGACTCCTTTAAACTTTCTAGGTAGCGTATATGAAGTTTGAGACAGAAAAGGTGTTTTTTCGAGAAAACATTTAGAGGTTAAAAGTTCTTAATATAGATCTATATAAATTTATTAAGGTTTTTTTGAGTAATCAGTAGCAGATTTAAGTACACTCTAACGGATAAACTATAGCCATCTCAATAATCATGCTTTATATGACCGAAAATATATATACATTTATCAAAGTGCTTGAATTAGATCGACCACTTGCAGATGCGACAACACCTTGATATTTGGTAAAGAGATAGTTCTGATGCTGTAAAAGTAAAATTAAGGGGTTTTAAACTGACCCGTTAGACCGCTCAATTTTTTAAAAGGGCGTGATTGCTTCTAAAGTTTAAACTATTCATTTTCCCACGAACTTCAACTACCTACAAAAATATACGAAGAAAACATTTGGATAAAAAAAATAATTGAAGTAAATTGTTTTAAAAAACAAACAAAAATTAAGAACTTATAAATTAATTTTTTATTCATGGCTGATGTAAACAAAGAATATAAAATGTCACTTAAAAACTGTGTCGTTCATTACTGCGTTTGGTGCGCATTTTCCAAGGCACAAGGGTATTTACTTTTAAACAGTGCATTGTAAAGTAATTTTAACACTGCTATTGACTAGTTAAAGACTTTATTATGTAAAACGCATTAACGAGAAAACTCAAAGAAAAAAAATGTAATTAGTTTCTACTTACGGTCTTGTACGGTTAAATAGAATGGAGCAATTTAACTTTGTAAACGTGCAAGTAGTTGTTTACTGAAATTTTTTTTCTATTTTTTTTTAATAAACTAAACTCTTGCGATATTGAGAGGGGTGGAGTGGAACGCGAAACCATTGTGTAGAGGTGTTGTAGTTTGATGATATGTATCGCCACTAGCATGACATTAATACCCTCTTGTTAAATACCCCCGGTCATTTCGCCGATGTCATTACCCTTCCTTAGATCCTTAGATCAATTAATTCCTTACATAACCTTAACCCGACCCTAAAACTAATGTAGGATATTATCTACCCCTGACAATTACTCATCCGATAGGGTAACGGAGACTGACGATGAAGGTAACGGCAATAGTAAGGATAGAATATAATAAAGATATAGATATAGATATAGATATAGATATAGATATAGATATAGATATAGATATAGATATAGATATAGATATAGATATAGATATAGATATAGATATAGATATAGATATAGATACAGATACAGATACAGATACAGATACAGATACAGATACAGATACAGATACAGATACAGATACAGATACAGATACAGATACAGATACAGATACAGAAACAGATACAGATACAGATACAGATACAGGTACAGGTACAGGTACAGGTACAGGTACAGGTACAGGTACAGGTACAGGTACAGGTACAGGTACAGGTACAGGTACAGGTACAGGTACAGGTACAGGTACAGGTCAGGTACAGGTACAGGTACAGGTACAGGTACAGGTACAGGTACAGGTACAGGTACAGGTACAGGTACAGGTACAGGTACAGGTACAGGTACAGATACAGATACAGATACAGATACAGATACAGATAGCGATAGCGATAGCGATAGCGATAGCGATAGCGATAGCGATAGCGATAGAGATACAGATAGAGATAGAGATACAGATAGAGATAGAGATAGAGATAGAGATAGAGATAGAGATAGAGATAGAGATAGAGATACAGATACAGATACAGATACAGATACAGATAGAGATACAGATACAGATAGAGATACAGATACAGATACAGATATAGATACAGATACAGATACAGATAGGGATACAGATATAGATACAGATACAGATACAGATAGGGATACGGATAAGGTTACAGATACGGATAGGGATAGGGATAGGGATAGGGATACGGATACGGATAGGGATAGGGATAGGGATAGGGATAGGGATAGGGATAGGGATAGGGATAGGGATAGGGATAGGGATAGGGATAGGGATAGGGATAGGGATATGGATATGGATATGGATATGGATATGGATATGGATATGGATATGGATATGGATATGGATATGGATATGGATATGGATATGGATATGGATATGGATATGGATATGGATATGGATATGGATATGGATATGGATATGGATATGGATATGGATATGGATATGGA